TGTCGTAAATGTCATTTTTTATGTTGTTTTGGTTCTTTTGTTGCAATTGTTTTTGTTATTGTGTTCTACCCCCCTCACCAAAACAATAAGCACAAGAAAAATGTCTTCAAATCAGTGGCAGCTAAGCCTTTCCACACAATTTCCACACGCCCCACCACCACCACTACCACCATGACCCCATGGCCTATACGACGACCCACCCAACGACATTTCAACTCGTTCATTTTATTGGATTTCCCGTTGCTTAGACGCTTTTCTTTATTTTTATTTTTATTTTTCTTATTTTTTTGCTGCCCTGTTGGTAGTTACATTTAATGAAAATTTGTTGGCAACGTGAAAGGCGTGGAAAATTTTAAATTGATTATTGCCGTGACCCAGGAGCTAGGGACCGGAAATATCCTGTCGGTTTGCTGCCTCACTTTTCCTCACCGCATGAGATTTCGTCCTTTTGCTTGGTATATACCTATATACACTGTTTTTTTTTCTTCCATGGGATCGCTGCTTAATGTTGTCGAGCAATGTAATATATTATCGTTTATGATGTTAACATAAAACTTGCACGCTCCGCTGCCGGGGCTCGAAGAATGGGTGCTTAGCTAACTGAGATTGGTACGGTATGGTATGGGGGGTATGGGGGGCCTGACATATCGTACCTGGCCCCTCTTCCACTTTTATGCCTCACTTGCCACGTGCTCATAAAAAATAAACGCCCCAAGATGGATTGCCTTCCCCCTTCGAATGGTAATCTTGATCCGTTGGATCGCCTTATTTTTTTTAGGGCCACCCATTTTATCATTTTGCATAATGGCAATTGTAGACATTTTGATTCTCTTGTTTTATAGACGTTTTGGAGAAGGTGGAATTCGAAATGACCCTTACCACTCCTGTGGAAGAAGCCTATTTTATGGTCCAATTTGGGAAATGAATTGTTCCATTGATTTCCTGAGGGTGGTTTTTTATTCAAAGCTTTTAAGAGGATAACTCTTTAATCAAAATTTGAAGTTCTTAGTTGTTTTCAAAAAAATTTTTGCATAGAAATGAACGAGTGTCTATCCAAAAATGAGAGTCTTGTGCAACAAGCAACATTTTTTTGCTTTGTTTTTTTGTTTTTAATTTGCGGGCCATGCATATTCATTCATTTTCATACCCTCCCATCCCCTCAAGGCAACAAAAATATATAAATAAAATAATTTCGGAAAAAAAAATCTCGGCAGCTTTCCCTTTTTTTCCTCCTGGCAGTGGCACTCGAGGGACAACTGAGGGGGATACACACAGACTGGATGAATCCATAGAAAAATATGCAAAATAGGCAGGAAAAGTTGCATATCATATGCACTGCACCCTCACACTCATCCACATGAAAGCATTTTTGCCGAGCGCCTCATTTTCATTTTTAGCTGCAGCTTTTCCTTCGGCGGCGCCAGCCCTGACTATTTTTAGACGAAGAGCAGAGTATGTCCCATCCACCCATCGGTATCCTTGTCTATATGCCGCCCACTGTCACACCCCCTTGAGCGCTTTCACTCGTGAATGGTGGGACAGGGGGTTGGTAGTGGGATGGATAAAGGACAATACGAAAATTTAATTTACCGCATAGAATTAAAATAGGCAAAAGTCCGGAAAAAATAAGCGAAAATTTTTCGCCCGTAAGGCAGCAACAACTGAAGGAAAATTCTTTTGTTTTCAGCTCTTACGCTGACTACCCTACCCCACCACGCCCACTTAGTCCTTGCCATCAGCCTCCGAATCTACATCCCACCCGCTACCCCTTTTTCGCAGAGACATCCCTCCCCCAGAGACATTGTTGGTGTTGCCTCCACCGACTGCCGTCGGTTTTAATTATGGAAAAAGTTTTTGCTTTATTTAGTTTAAACAATAAGTGGTTGGAAAATATGAATTATACAAAGAGACAGCACTGGGGCTATATATATGTGTGTGTTTAAAAGATAGTGTGTGAGTAAACATTTCTTAAGAAAAATGCAAATATTTTTTACTTATGTCTTTCCACCTTAGTTGTTTTTGGGTCTTTTGGAAGGAAAGTAGTTGGGTGTCTCTGACTATATTTTCAACTAGATTCTACACTAACTTTTTAAAGCTATAGCTTGATTCCATATACATTCCCTTTGATTTTTTAAGAAGATCTCTCTAGATCTCTATATCGCTGTCTCTTTTACAAGGACCTCTCTCTACGCTTCTCATAGTTTCCATCTTAGCGCCCAACGTGGGCTGTTAAAATAAATCAATATGGAACTATCACAAATCCTTACGATTAGTATCCTGTTATCTAAATTTAACTATATTATATAAATCATAATCACCTTTAAATTGTCTGACTTAAAGCCTTTAGGTATTTATGAAGTTAAATTCCCAGCCCAAGAGCACCACCCACATTATATGCCCACTCACGTATTTCCGTTCGCCAACCCCCCGGCAAAATCGAATTTGCGCATAAATTTTCAAAAAATGACAATAAAAATGACAAAGGCTCCCCACGAGCAACCGCTAATCACAAAGCGTTTATCGAAGGATACCTCCGCTACTGGCCGCCCAAAACCATCACCTGGCGTGCCACCTACCTGTCAGTTGGTAATAAATTATTATCATTAATATTTTGCGCTTGATTTTGCCCCAAAGCCAGACTAGGCAGGAAGAAGGGACGATAGCACAGGATAACGCCCGAAAGGACCAACAACCGAAACGTTTTTTGCATAAAAATTAAGCGAACGAACGAGTCGATTCGAGGCGAGGGCGATAGAATTTTTTTTGGTGTAATAGAATAGAACAAAAGCGTCAACAGAAATGTTTGAAACACGACGAAATTACCACCAGCCGGCTATGGCAGGAGCTACAGGACCTCCACGTCCTCTATCCTGACTTGTTGTTGGTGTGCGTGAGCCGCAAAAACTTTTACAAACACCCTCGAAGTGCACGCGATAATGGCTCCCAATTTGGTAATTAATCACGTCCTCGTTCTCGCTTTACTTTTTTTTTCTTTTTTGTTCCTTTATTTGCAGCCACAGCTGCCCATTAAAAGTGGAGGATGTAGGGCAGAGCCAGCTAGGCTTCATATTTTCCATTAGCTTTCCTGTTTCTGGCCTTTCTCTACCTCTACAGAAATTTTTCCACTCGCCCAGACATTGTTGTTCCTGCTACTGCTGCTGCTGCAGTCAACGTTAAAATTAAGCGAATTTGAACGAACGATAAAATAATTACCTTTATGATTATTTTCGATGGAGCGGAGAAAAGGGAGCTCCACTCTATGTGTGTTTGTGTGAGTTTTGGCTCAATGTGCCAAACGTGTCTAATTTAGCGGCTTAAATTTATAGCATTTGTGCGCTTAAAATGTTTGGCTATTCCGTTTTATGACCCACCGAAGGCAATTGATGGGCGGTTCTCGGGGTGTTTTCGCCTGTCATGTGCGAATGAAATAAATGGTGAGGGATATGGAATGGATTTTGGAGTCAGTTTTTAAGGAGAATCTATGTTATGTGCGAATTCAGAGCATAAATCTGATATATCATTTCTTTAAAAAAAAACCTTTTAGTTTTTTTTTTATTTTAAAATGCTGTCACGCCTTTCTCCGAAAAAAATGCAGGCCTTGCACGTTTATTCCTTCCGTCCTTCCACTTTGCAAACACACGTTTACGTCCTCCACTCCAAAATTCGAATGGCAAACCATTATTACTCGCTCTCTGCCATTTAACTGCCAAATTACAGACCTCTCCCGTCACAGCCCGCAAAAAGCAAACCGCATTCGAATTGCGTGCCCACGAAAATTAACGTGAAAACGTGAAGCTTCTGACAAAAAAACGAGAAAAAACGAAAACTGGCAGGAGAGAAACAAACTGAAAATCAAATATTTGCCATATTTTGCAATTGGAAAATCAACGACAGCACGCAAGGCTTCCAGCTCGAGTTGAATCCTTTTAGAAAACCAGGACATACACACACGAGTTCCTTCCTTCCTCTGCCTCAATCAGGCCGAAAATAAAATGGCGGCGGCACACTGTTATTTCCGCTTTTACTGAATTTGTTTTGGCCATTTTTTTTGTTTTTGTTTTTCTTCTGGGTTTCGGGTTTTGTTTATACCATGAAAGAATCGTAGAATCGCAAAAGGACTATATACATATACCTAGTATATGTATGCCCAAAAAACATCAACTTTTTCACTTTGTATATTTCAGGCGAATAAATTTGCGAATGCGAGTGTCACACACATATGTACCTCTATAATATGTATATGGAGCTTTATTTGTGTTTATGCCAAGTGACCCCAAAGAATTCGAGTGGGGAAGTGTGCAAGAAAAAAATGGCCCCCAAGCCCCAATGCATTTGCATTGCAAAACTGGAACACACACACTCACACACATGCACGCCCACAGGAAGCGACCAGGCAGCAAGGACACCCAGCGACTGTTGCATCTGTCCTGTGAATGTGTGGCCAGGACATGGAGTGGGCGAATTATTTATGACAGGCTTGATTCCATATACATACCCTTTGATTTCTTAATGGGATGCACTCTCTCTCTGTCTTATGGGCCTCTCTATGCGCTTCTCATAGTTTCCAGCTTGGCGCCCCATCGCAGGGTATCCGAGTGTCGTTAAAAATGTAAATATTTCACTGGGTTTTGTGTTATCGTTTTTGTGTAATGAATGCACCAACCGGCACTCAATAAAACAAAATCTCCCCGACCATGATTCATGGGCACTACCTATACTAGTAGGTATGTAGTGCAGTGCCATGTGTGCATTAGAACGGATGTCATGGTGGTTTTTCTAGCGGTAAACAAAAGCTTTACAACCGAGCCGCAGCTGCCGCTCTGCGGTTTTTATTTACGCCATAGGAGAAACCGCACAAAAAACCAGATTATTTATGCCAAAGCTACAAAAACGTTTTCAGTAATTTTAATCTTTTCGAAGAGACTGTCATCTTCACTTTAGCGAAACTTAAAGTTTGAAATTGAAAAATCTAATCCAGTCGTTGTATTATTTTGTTGTAGGGGAGCTCGTCTAGCGCCGCCGCCGCACCACCAACTCCGCGCAGCGCCTTCCCCGGCGCCCCGCTAACCGCCTCAGCCGTCGCACTCAAGGGCGCCCTACCCCAGCGGCCACCGGCCATGACCAGTCCCGCTGCCGCTGCCGCCGGCGCCGCATTGGCCGCTGGTGCACCGTATCGTGGCGCCGCCAGCTGGACCCCGCAGGGTTATGCCCCGGCCGCTGCTGCCGCCGCCGCTGCTGTTGCCCAGCAGGCTGCTTACCGTTATACGGCGCCGCTACCGCAACCGGCGTATGCCGCCTACACGCCGCACACGGCCACCACTCCGGCCACCACCACGGTAAGTACAGGCCTGGGGGCCAGGACTTTTCTCTCAGTGCTCGGGGATTAAATGGCAGGAAGGGATTAGAGGAAAATCCCCATAGAGAATCCCCATGTATGCAATGGTATTTGCATGTGATATTATTTTAAAATTGAATGAAAATCTAAGCAAAGGGAGAATACTAAAATTACTCTTTGTAAAACCATCCATAATAAATGATATTTTCAACCATCACAGGACAATAACCCACTCTGCCACTGGCCTGGCCCTATAATAATAATAATTCAGTAAACCCATTATCAAAATCGAAACACCAGCATAATATTTTGGAAAAAAAAATAGAATCCACTTTGATGAATTCCTCAATTCGTGTGTAGTGGTGCGCATAATCGAAAATTTATGCGCGTCCATCAGAAGGCAAATGGAATTCAAGTGTCTTTACACTTCCAGGAACTACCTCGGCTGCTGCTGGTTCCTTTCAACCTATTGGTTGTCGAGGAGTGGAGTTCCTCAGCTTGACAAGAGATAGTGGGGCTGCTGAAAAGGATAAGGTGATGGAGGAGGAGGTGGTGGTGGTGGAGGAGTAGACAAGCTCCTTCTGTCATTTATTGAAAATTACTGAAGCAGCAATTTATTTATGGCACTTGCTGTTGTTTTGAAGATATCCTACAGCTCCTCTTGGCTTCTGGTTCCCTCTTCTTTGACTGACTTGGTTGCTGACATTAATTTGCCAGAGATAGGCAACCAAATCCCAGTCAAGTCCTTGGGCAATCAATTAGTCTGTTTGTGGTTTTTTCACACTCGGACATTCATCAAAGTCAGGGCCGTGGCTCTTCGCTCCTTTGGTCCTTTGGTCATTTTCAATTTGAAAGTCAGACAACAGCCGCCACAGCCGTATCAGCAGAATCATTAATAACGAACAATTAAGAATTTCGTGGATAAGAGTTGACAAGTCGAAACTCTGGACTTAATCAGCATTATCTGGCTGCGACTTGGACTCATTTTCCGGCGTTTTTCCTCTCGACCCTCTGGGGCTCAAAAGTTCACTGCTGTTCAAATATAATCTCCCTCTGTCCCCATCCCTGTCAGGCAAATTCGCCGGCAAAACGATTGAATCCGGAACCCTCCCCAGAGTGGCATCATCATGACGAATGATGTTCGCTGGTTTTGACAAATTTTACCCAACCACCCCGAAAGATCCAGCTATCTCTCTTGGTTCAGAGTTTTCAATTTGATTTACAAATGATTTTCAATTCAAGAGTCGAGTAGGAATTCCTTTGGTTCTGTTTTTCTTTTCTTTCATTTTGCGTGGCACCCCTTTGAAGGCCTCGGCTCCCTCGGGCAGAACAACTTCTAATAAATGCGCCGAAAAAGTGCTGAAAATAAACGAGCAAATAAATAACCAGTCACACAGTACCACCCATCAGCCCAACCACCCATCCACCCATCAGCCACCCCTTCAGGTAGTTTTTCTTTTCGGGGGCTGAGAATTCTTGCATTTTTCTCGGTTTTCGTGGCCTGCGGGCCAGGCTCTTGAGCTTTTATTTATATTTGTTTGGATTGTCGGCTTGGTTCTTTTTGGCTCCTCCATCCTGTCAGCCATCCCATTCACTCTCTCACTCATTCATTCATTCATTCATTCATTCAACGTCGTCAATGGCAGTTAAATAATCCAAAAAGGAAATGTATTTTTTTGTGGGCGTCATCATCGTCATCATGGTTGTCGTCCTTTACTGTTGTCCAGTTCCAGTTCGAGTTCCAGTTCGATGGCCATTAAAGCTGCATGCGAATGTTGCTCATAAATATAAAGTGTGCGGCTACTTATTTCGTTTTTTTTTCCGCTACTTTTGTATACATTTTTATGAAAGGTTTTCCTGCCGGGGGGTCATAGATTATCGCATTTGATTTGAGTGTCGTTAGCCCGGCGGCCCGAAATTATTCGAAAGGGAAGGAAGGGACTAAGCGAAACAAAACTGGAATTTGCTTTAATTATAATTAGTTTTTTTTTTGGGCCTGGCTATGGTCAGACGGCTTCAAGAAAACCCATTACAATTGTCTTTGGGCCAAGTAGTAGCTCTTGAGTATACAAACGAATATTATAATCATGAACCGAGGCAGAGCACGGCCAGCACTGTGCTCTCTGTCATAACGAGATTGGCAGGATTACGAAGGACATCGTCGTCACTGCTATTCAATGCTTAGTTACATTTCCGCACCCGACTCCTGCCCAGCCAGCTGCTGTATAGTTTTGCCATAACTATAAACATTAGTTTAATTTTAAACTAGTTTCTGTCCATTCAGTTGACTCTTTTGAGATCTGCACACTTGAGAGCGTTTTGCCGCTTGCCTTCCGTTTCCGTTCAAGTCCAACTTGTTGAATATGAATTGTATTTCGTTCCAAGAACGGGGCATCGGGGCATCTGGGCATCTTGGTATCTGGGGATGTCGGGGGAAAGTGCTGCGCTTAGAAGACGATGATGGAAACGCATAAATGTAAATGTTATTCTTGTGAATTTTATTCCATTTTAAATTTTAATTATTTTTAGCTGCCAGGAGCAGCATGCCATGGCACGGCATGGCATAGCAACCGTCTAGAGATGGAGAGCCGCCTCGGTGCTCTCGAGAGAAAATTGAATTTGTGGGGGTGGTGCGAGGCGGATGGATGGTGGTTTTCCTTGAAGAGTAGTATAAGACAGTTGGACGCATCCCTGGGCACTTTAGCTTCAAAAGCAATTATTGTTGAAATATTATTTACATATTCCACAACCTTAGCTTCAGCGCCGTCCACGGGGCGTATGAGTGTTATGCAAATGCCACGCAACTGAAATGCAACATTATCTGAAATGTATTGAAATGCAAAGCTGATAAAAGAAGGAAATCAGTTACAAAAGGACTTGGTTTTATCCTAGTAATATAATTGGCCATAAATACGATTTATTTCTCTGAAAACTTACCACCAACCATAAACCATAAACCATTTTTTAAATATTTTAATTCAACCATTTAAGCCTCTCAAAAATCTTTGCTCATTTAACTTGCAACACTTTTCAATTACTTCCTGCAATTGAGCATTCAAAGGCTTTAATCTGCCATGAAAAATCTGTTGCATACTTATGGGCATACCGCCCATATTTAATGAGAAATTAACATTTCTTTTTTGGAGAATATTAAATGAATTGTTTTACAGGACCAGTATTAAGTATGGTTTTTATTGTTTTTTAATTTTTTTTTATTTTTTGTCCTGAATTTCACAATGACCGCACATAAATTCCACAACTGGCGGCACATAAATCAACAAACACGCTCAATCAAAATTCCTGGCCAGCTGGCAAAAGCAGCGGGAAGTGCGCCAGGAAGGACGAGGAGGTGGTTCCACTGGATGGTTGATATGTGTATATTTATATAGAGCGACCACTGAGTGGGCGGGCAAGAAAACAGACCACCACCGCCGCCGCCCTCCCCGCTGCTGATCGAATCAATAAAAACACATTAAACTTTATTTGGCAAAGAGGGATAGCGATTAAATAGCGAGAAAGGATATCCCGTGAAACAAAAAGCAGCTGGAAAAGCAATGCAGGTAGAAAGAGAAAGCTGGCCAGCAACTATACCAGGATTAATTAAAAGTGCTGAGCTGACAAAAGTGCAGAAAGGCAAATACCAGTCAGGAGGGAAAAGGAAAGACAACTCAAGGGGCCAGGATGGCGGGGGAAGAACGGAAAAACGGACATAAAGCGATTAACTCAATAAAGCGTAAGCGTTAAAACAAAAGTGACAAAGTGCACAAGTGCCACAAGCCAACAGCAACTACCAGTACCATTACCACCATCACCACTACCACGACAACTACGGGAAACAGTGCAAATAAACAGGCGAACATCGCATCGCGAACATCGTACAAAGGACCCCGCACAGATCACGCATACGCCCCGCTGGCCAGCAGAAAGCGTGAAGCAAGGACACGAAAAATAAAGGGGGGCAGCAGAGCAGCGTGAGAAGGCCACAACAACTGTTTTTCTCCGCCTGGACAGGCTTAAAAAAAAAATGGCCAAAAAAACAGGAGGCTCCGAGTGGCGCGAAAAACAAACTTTAAGGATATTTAAGCTTTAAAATATTTTTAAAACCTTAAATTATTTAACCATTAAGTTAAACAATTTCCCCTAGAGTCCTTAAAGTTCTTGTGCATCCGAAATGGCAGCATCTGCCACAACAGCTGCCTGCGGCTAATGCAACGAGGGCATTGGGGCCTCAAGTTGTTTTTCTCTTCGTCCTGGCAAATTATGGAACTTAACTGCAAGTGACAAGCCACTGCTGTTGCCTTTTCTGCAAAAAGCTATAGCCGTTGTTGGTGCAACTGCAGCAGGCCGCACGTGCCACGCATCCTGACATTTGGCGGCGGCCCGCAAAAACTGCCCAGCCTTGCTGACACTTGACATTTTCCAGCCAGTCTCTTTCAGTTTTCCCCAATCTGTCTGCGTGGGTGGGAAGTTCAAAGTGCAGTCGACTCGTCGGGTAATATTTCAATAAACCATAAAATAAAAAATATATAAAGAGTTGGCGAAAAGCGAACAGGAAAAGATTTAAATGGAAGCCGGAGATGCGGAGGCCACGCCTACTCGTGACCCCAAAAAATACTTAGTCAGCCGGCCACCCACACAACCGCCCCCATTTTGGTGTTTAATATTATCCACTTTGGTCTTCCTGTTGCTGCATCCGTCCGTGCCCCCATTTTCCCTCTCCGATTGTAGCCGTTGGAAAAAAAAGTATTCAAACATACATATATATGTATATCTTTCACACAGCCATGTTTTCTGTAGCTGTGAGGCAATAAATTTGATTGCGATGCATTCGAGTGGCAAGCGAATCTCTTGCGGTCGCGGAAAATGGGAAAAGCGGGCCAGCGAGAAGCAGCGAGATCCCCGGGACGGATCGATAGCTTCTGCCCACACAGCTGTGCGTATTTATTTATCGAAATTAATTATTTGAATTTCAAATTGTATGCGATGTATCAATTAAGAAGC